AACAGTTAGGACCAAAGCCAAAATTCCCTCTCGATTCCTTCCATGAACGAGAGGTCTACAAATTGAACAATCAAACCTTTAAACAGTTAGGATCGTCTCAAGTCCCTATTTGGTCAAACCTTTAAACAGTTAGGACCAAAGCCAAAATCCCCTCTCGATTCCTATCAACCTTTAAATAGTTAGGACCAAAGCTAAAATCCCCTCTCGATTCTTTCCATGAACGAGAGGTCCACAAATTGAACGATCAAACCTTTAAATAGTTAGGATCGTCTCACTGCCCATTTGGTCAAACCTTTAAACAGTTAGGATCAAAGCCAAAATCCCCTCTCGATTCCTTCCATGAATGAGAGGTCCATAAATCGAGCGATCAAACCTTCCTACAGTTAGGATCACCTCGAAACTCCCACCTGGTCAAGATAGAATATAAAATTCTTCCTCTCCATCATCGGGTTCATCTCTACCAACAAACAAGAGACCGGGAAATAGAATATGAAATTCTTCTTCTCCGATTTTGGGTTTATCTCTACCAACAAACAAGAGACCAGGAGATAGAATATAAAATTCTTCCTCTCCATCATCGGGTTCATCTCTACCAACAAACAAGAGACCAAGAGATAGAATATAAAATTCTTCCTCTCTGATTTCGGGTTCATCTCTACCAACAAACAAGAGACCAGGAGATAGAATATAAAATTCTTCCTCTTCATCATTGGGTTCACCTCTACCAACAAAAAAGAGACCAAAATACTCCAATAGGTACACGAGTCTAAACTGTTTTCCTACACTCGACAAGCAGTTTCTAGAGAATATTATTCTGAATATTCTTAAGGATAACCTGACGAACTCTCGAGAGACATACAAGTATCAATTTGGTGATAAAAGTCAAAGAGATACCAACTTCGATTCAAGATCTCGATAACAGTCGCAGTACCGGGAGAGTATTAGCTATTCTACAAAGAACTGAATAGGCTAAAGGATGAAGAGATCAAAAGCCGAAGCCATTTTATGGATTCCTCTACACGATCTACTTAACTAAGTATTGAAGAGATCGTAAGTAAAATCTATCTTATCCAAAGTATCCCAGACTCCTCTATAAAAGAATGAGTCTGGAATACTTTGGAGGGGGTATCTGTAGGCGTCAAAAAATGTTAAAAGATATCCAAATACAACTCAAGAGGAGATCATCAAAAAATCAAAAAGCGAGACAGTCTTTACTGTCTCGCAAGCGAGACAATGTTTACTGTCTCGCAGCGAGATAGTCTTTACTGTCTCGCAGTGAGACAGTCTTTTACTGTCTCGCCAGCGAGACAGTGTTTACTGTCTCGCAGCGAGACAGTGTTGAAATGGTCAAAAACCATCTTGATAACTGCCGTACACGTGTCCATTAACTGCCAAGGACGTGGAAAACATCGTGGACGAGAATCACGTGGATAACTGCCAAAATAACGGAGTTTGAAACGTGGGAAGGCAGTTACTGAAGAAACCACTGTGCAGTTAGGTTTTCCGGGACAGTGTTTACTGTCTCGGAACCCGAGACAGCAAACTCTGTCTTGTCCGCCGAGATAGCAAATGCTGTCTCGCGAGCATATTTTCTCTAACTGTTCCTGGAGGCTATAAATACCCGCTGAGGTCGATTTTTGAGAGGGGGCTGATTTCAGAGCAGACAGAGCAGAGTTCTTGAGCTTCTGGCAATACCTTGAGATTCGAGCTTTGACTTGATCTCAAGAAGAACGACTATCTTACTTTGATAAGATCTCGTTTCAAATTCTCACTTCGATAAACGAAGGAAGAATCATTAAACCCCTCACGATTCAATCAGAATCTGTGATTTGGTGGTCCACGAGTCAAAGCGCTCCCGGCACAGGCAAAGATCTCACGCAAGCAGCGATCCAAACAACGATCCTGTGTTTGTTTCTTAAGAGTTGTAATTTTCTTTTTGTTGTGTAAAAGAAGTCTTATAAAAAGGCTATTTCTTTTGAATTTATTGTAATCGACTGAAGATATAATGAATTCCTCAACAAAACCAACTTTTGCTGCAAACACACGTTATTACGCAGTTGTTTGCGTCAAAAGTTGGTTTTGTCATGGAATTCATTATATCTTCAGTCGATTATAATAAATTCAAAAAGAGATAGCCTTTTTATAAGACTTCTTTTACACAACAAAATAAAAATTACAACTCTTGGGAAACAAACGCAGGATCGTTGTTTGGATCACTGCTTGCGTGGGATCTTTGCCTGTGCCGGGGGTGCGTTAGCCCGTGGACCACCAAATCACAGATTCTGATCGAATCGTGAGGGGGTTATGATTCTGACTTCGTTTATCGAAGTGAGAACTTGAAACGATATCTTATCAAGGTAAGATAGTCGTTCTTCTTGAAATCAAGTCAAAGCCTGAATATCAAGGAGTTACAGAAGCTCGAATACTCTGCCCTCTCTGCTCTGAAATCAGCCTGTGGATGCTCTCTGATCAGCCTCCTTCAAAAATGGCCTTCGGGGGGTATTTATAACCCATAGGAACAGTTGGCGGAAAACAGGCTCGCGAGACAGCATTTGCTGTCTCGGCTGTCGAGACAGTGTTTGCTGTCTCGGCGGGCGAGACAGTGTTTGCTGTCTCGGCTTCCCACGTTTCAAACTCCGTTATTTTGGCAGTTATCCCCCTGATTCTCGCCCACGACGTTTCCCACGTTCTTGAACAGTTAGTGGCCACGTGTGGGGCAGTTACAAAGGCGGTTTTAACCATCTGAAAGCTGTCTCACGTGCGAGACAGTAAATTCTGTCTCGCACGGCGAGACAGTAAAGACTGTCTCGCGTGCGAGACAGTCTATACTTGTGTTCTTTTTGACAGTTTGGATGACTTCCTTTTGAGTTGTGTTTGGATATCTCTCAGCATTTTTTGACGTCTACAGCAGCTAGATCTGCATTGAAACAAACTAACCCTAAATGAGAAGTAAAAAAAAAAATAGTTAGTTTAGCAAACTCCTCAAAACTGGTTATGATTAATCTTGCTACAACTTTGGGATAAATTAAGTCTGTTTTGATTCAAAAAAGGATTGGATCAAAACATAACTGGTTTAAAAGGGTCTTTTTAACCTAGGAAATTTGGGGCAACACTAGTTTAGTTTTTTTTCCCAATGAAACTATTCTTAAAAATGGGATCATGATCGATGTTAATTCCATTGAGAGATTGCCAAACTGACCCGTAAGTATTTGCTTTGCACCTACGTGATAATTGTTATTGATTTTAGTACACAAAAAATGTCATTTATAACGCGGAAATCTCTGCTATAATTCAATTTGTTGACGATATTTTTGTCTTGCTATTTTCCCTATCCATAGAATGATCATCCTGGATCTCTTATTAGCACTTTCCTCTAATTTAAAAAAAAGAAGAAGAAAGAAACATGAATAACGAGTTTAACCTTGATCCACAATAGGAATCAGATGACGGTGTAGATGAAGTTAAGGTAGCACAAATTATGACTTGACAATATTCATTGCTAGATCATAAACACTTCCTAAATTGGGTATTGCTGTGAACTAGTATCAAAACATATGCTAGGAAATGATAGCATTCATAAGAGAGATTCAAATAAATTTACTATCTGGACGACTCACATATTACAAAATAAATTGTTGTATTTAATTGCTGATTTTGATAATGCAAATAAATAGGGTCGTGCATTGAGTCATATTAAACCAAAGTCCTAAGCACTTTTACTAAAAACCTCATGCTCAAGTTCAGGTAATTTGACTGATTCAAAATTTGTCAAAAATAATAGACAGAATTTGCTACGAGATACAAAAGATCGTTAGATTATTTGCACGGAATCCTTATGGATCATAATTATAGCCAATCACGGGAGCGTATATAAATGCAACTTATTGGGCAAAACATGCGGTTGATTTTACATCCAAAGAGCTAATATTTACCAAACATGAATTGTAATATGTTTAATTTTTTTTCTTTTTCTACACCGTGACAACATAACATATATAAACATTGATTCTTCTAAAAATTACATATACATTACTTTGAAAAATGTAATATATTACAAATTAACAAAGACTTGTTGAGGTGAAATCATAAAAGGATGCAATTATTTAAAAGGGGTTTTCACGTGTATTCCTGTAAAAAAAATTCTACTTTTTGCATATTTGACCCACTAAATATTGGTATTTGCAAAATTACCTCCCAATGAGTTATAGCTTTATAAAAAGGTTTTGCAATCTTACTGAAAATTATTAATTTTTTTAACATTTCCAACTTAAAAATCAACATTGTTACGTGGGAGGGGTAAAATCAAATCTATTCCTCTATACAAATAGGAGAACCCAAGATTCACTATTCATACTACAGTAAATGCAACAATATTATTTATTGTAGCAATCAAGAAACAGTACAGTAGCAATTTTTTGGAAAAAATACTGTAGCAAGTAGAAAATTGAAAAATTCCTGTAGTGTACAGACAAGATAGCATTTTTAAAAATCACTGTAGCAGAGCGGGCTATTGTAGCAATTCAAAAAAATATAGCATTTAAAACCGGGATTACTGTAGCGGAGGAAAAAAAGATAGTATGAGCGAATTGGAGAGTAATTTTACAGATACCAAGATTCGATAGTTTAATTTGCAAATATATATGAAATTTTTGATAGGTATAATATGCAAAAATCTTCTATTTAGAAGTGTAACAGATTAAATATTTGGAGCGTAAAATATCCTTTGGGGAGAGTCCAAAAATATAATGTGAGAGAAATAGAGGGCACGATTCCAAACGTCAGGGATTTGAGAGTTATATATGCAAAATTCTATACTTGATAGAGAGAACAGATTTTATAATGCGGTGAGCGTGGATCGAACACGCGACCTTCAGATCTTCAGTCTGACGCTCTCCCAACTGAGCTATCCCCGCGTCGATCAGGTTTGTCATATTTAAACTATTATCTCTTTTCCAAGTTCCAGTTCCGCTGCTCTCTTTTCTCCCTCCTCATTTCACAGATCCCACCCCTCGATCTCAACTTCTCAAAGTCCCCGAAATCCTTTCCCAATATTCAAAAACCATAAACCCTAATCCCTGAAACTTCAGCAAATCGGCCGCCTTCAGCAATGAGCAGGATCCTCGACGGCGTGAGTTCCAAAGGCGGCAGCAAGACCTCCGGCGTGTTCGACCTCACCCCACACAAGATCGCCATCTGCCACCTCATCCAAGTCTTCGCTCCGCCAGCTCAGCAGTCCGTCCCCTTCCCCTTTCAGTCTGCTTCTCAGCACAATCGCCTCGGCCTCTTCCTCTTCTCTCTTACTAGGGTTTGTAACTCACTCTCTACCCCAGCAATTTTTTTATAATTTTTCCCGAATAACTGGGGAAATTGGTCAATTTAGTTCCACATTGTCTAAATGGGGAGTCAAAATGGGGAGTCAAAATGGGGAGTCAATTGTGAGTCTAAAGGAGAGTTGGGTTCCCCCTCTCGAATAGCTACCTTTTCGGGGTGATTTTTTTCTTCGTCTCTTAAAATTTGATAGAATAACATTCTCTATCGAGCTAAAGATTGCATCTTGCTTAGTTTTCAGGTACTAGAAAAGCTAAATGTGGTGCCTGGATGGTTCAATATTGTTCAGTCTTTTTCAAGTTTTTTTTTCATGACAAGTTTAAAGATAAATTTAGAAAATTGAGGAATAAATTGCTACTGAAAAGTTATTATTCTTAATTTAGTCTGTGGAGCACAATTGTACTGTAGTTTTGTAAATTTGTTATTGGGGTTTACTAGTTGCTAGAAGAACACAGGCTCTACTTTTTAGTCAGAGATCACTGTAAGATACTATACAGAACGAATATGTGGGTTACTTTCAGATCGTTGTAAGTTACGCAGGTTAGCTTTGAGATGATCTTAATTCTTAAGTGCATTTATGATTATTAAGCACAATTTATATTTGGCCAATGATGCTCCTAATGCAATTGTAGCTCCAATCTGAAAGTAACCTTTATAGCTTATGGAATTCACCTATGGTTTCTACTCGGCTGTAAATGAAAGTCATTAATTGATTCATGTCGCTGACATATGCCATTTTCCTTGTGTGCAGTCCTGTGATGATTTTCTGGAACCTTCTCTTGAAGAACTTATCAACCAGTTGAAGGCAATTGATGGGTTAGTCAATGATTGGTTATGTGATCAGTTGATGAGCAGTCTATCGTCATTGACTTCACCTGATGATTTATTTAACTTCTTTGATAAGATACGGGGTATTATAAATATTATATTTTGGTTTTGCCCATTTACGGCTGAAAGATGCATTGAAATTCCTCCTTTGCTTTAGTCTAAAATGATTTAATTTATCAGGTGTACTTGCAACTCCCGATGGTGCACATGTGGAAGATGATCAGATCTTTTTGGATCCAAATAGCCACTTGGGTGTGTTCCTGCGTTGCTGCCTACTGGCTTTCAATCTCCTGGCTTTTGAGGTGATATACTTGCAGGCCATTGCCTATGCATGTTCTGTTCAAATTCTTTTCCTCTTCATTGAATAAAAAAAAGGCACAAGCTTTTGTGACTCAAGTGTCTGCTATTTTAGTGCTTACTAAAGTAGAAAGTTAGCATTGAATTCAAAGATTTTTGTACCTTCTTTATATGCAAGAAAATTGTTTTCATTTCTTTTATCCCCTTACTGTTTGGTTCTTTTTTTCCTATTTATTATGTGAATGTTTTCCCAATATCTGATTTCTTTGAGTCTTACGTTTACTCTTATGTTATACTGTAGGGTGTCTGCCACCTTTTGACCAATATAGGCACATATTGCAATTCAGCAGCTTCTACATATGAGTTACCTGAAGAAGATGATTATGATTTTGAATCAGAGTATGACATTGAAGCTGTAAATCAAGACCTTGAAGATGACATTCATCAGAAGTTCGTCCATGAATTTGAAGCTGATATGTGTGCTGGAGAAAGTTCTGAATTAAATCTATCTGCTCCGAGATCAATTTATGAACACGTTGAAGGTACTAGCTTATGACTGCCTTAGGCCATTTAATTTCCACTTTTCTCCCTCCCTCCATATCTCTCCTCAATCATTTAAATTTGTGGAAGTAACTGTTAGTTTAATGTATTTAATGTATTAATCTGACCAATGAATTTGTGCATAAGCACTACTAGACTCTTATTTCCCTGTGGATTAATCATCAATGAATTTGGTGGTTGGCTTGAATTTGACGAGCATGCGCTCCTTTGTCTCTTCCATCATCAACTTCTCTGATCATTCCATTTCTAATTGGTCTGGTTTAGCTAAATGTTTCCTTTTTCTTTTTCTTTTGTTGCTGCACAGCACTATCAAAGGCCATTTCCTTGGTTAAAATAAAAATAGCTACATCTCTTCCCCTGTTCTGCTTCGCTTACCGATCTCCTTCCTTCTTCTCATATTACCTTTCTGTTCCTAACCTCCTTTGATACCTCGTCTTCCGATGTCAAACCATCTTAAATGGATATACATTCTCTTTCCACATGCTTTTCTCTAACTTCTAATGCACATTCATGTCCTTGATGTGGATAAATGGATAAATACTTCCAGTTGCTGCCATTCCTAAGCTGAAGCACGCTGTTGATGGTGCTCAGAGTGATGAGTCTGCATTCTTGCTGAATGATGCATATAAAAATGACGAACACCAGGGATTTTTGCGCTCAAAGTGGCAAGTAGAAGGATATCTAAATATGCAGGCAGATTTGCTCGAGAAGTAAGTTTACAATTGAATTGTTTTAGAGATCAGATTGTTATCTAAGTTATGGTGCTGATTTCGGTTTTTTGTACTAGGTACACTAGTTCATTTCCCTTGAAATCATTCGATGATATTCTAAAGAAAATTGAAAAATTAGCTCCTGAACTGCATCGTGTAAGTTATAAAGCTTGAATATGGAGGCTACAATTTTAAAGAAGTGTTATTTCACTATCTGTTTCTGTGTAAATCATTTTATGACTGGGATGCAGGTCCGGTACTTGCAATACTTGAATGGTCTTTATCGTGATGATTATCTTGCTGCTTTGGATAATCTTCATCGGTATTTTGATTACAGGTGATTTGCATGTCTTATGTTATCTAGTTTCTAGTTCTTGCAGAGCATATAACTCATCTATTTTCTGGTTAAATCTGTCTTCGTCCTTTGTGTTTTTTCCCCTTTCTATGTTAATATTCTGTCTATGACATGGCCAGTATTTGCAGAATTGTGGATGTTAATTCTTTGTAGAAAGCGTAATTTTTTTCATTTATACTCAGGTTGGAGGTATTCTAAGACTACTTACAATGGAGGTGTTGAAAATAGAATTCAACTGTTGAATTGGTTTAATGGAGTTGTTGAAGAGGGTGTTGAATCCTATTTGGATTAATTTGTGTTGAATTAATTCAACATGTTGAATGAGGAGTGGGAGAGGACCACACACAGGAGAGAGAGAGTAGATTGGACACATGTCTTCATGCTGTTGGGTGGTGGGATTTTTGAGAAAATAAGAATATGAAATAAAAGTGGTGGGGAAGGGTGTTGAATTTTATTAAACAAAACCATTGTAGAGTGTAAAAGTTGAGTGGGTGTTGAATTATTAGGTGGAAGAGAGAGAAGATGATGTGGAGTGTTAAAAAGTAAAAAATAGGGTGTTGAAAAACAAAACCATTGTTGATAGTCTAAGGAGTTATTTAGTCCAACTGTTCAAGGTGACTCCTCCTTCAAGACTTGCCAAATTCAGTCTATACTTGACTCTAGAGCAGAAAGTCATCTTGATCTCCTGAAATGTTACAATACCGCCTTTAAAATGAATTGTTATATTTACTCAACTATGCTTAGAGTCAATCTAGACACGTGCCTTTCCCATGAATTAAGTCAACATAGGGTGCTCATGATTCATCTTGGTTGATCATGTCTTATTGCTATATCCCTCCTGATTTTCGTATTCGTGTACTGAGATGAGAGCTCATCAGCTACTTCTGTAAGCATTTCATCTCAGTAACACTTTGACCAAGATGTGCCCGGTTCATAATAAATAGATTTCACTCTGGTTTCATCTATGTTTCCAGACGAAGTAAGACTCACTGCAATGTGTTAGTTGTTTTTGTTTTCTTTTTGCTTCTAGGGCTTAGATGGGCTTTGAACATAGCAAAGTTAGTTTTGCAACTATCTTATATTCCACGGTGAGAACGAGATGGCAATTGTATTCTCCATGAATACACATTATGTGTCTGTTTGTTGCATAATGATTGCTAGGTTCACCTTGGTACATATATTTTACTGAATATGTCATTTTCTGGCATCTCTATGATACTTATTTAATATGGGCATTTCATTACCTTTCCCTTTTACCAAAACCACTTCACCTTTTACCAAAACCACTTCATTGTTTGGGAGAAATAAGTTGTTTTTGGTTGTGTGAGCGTACATTGCGTTTCAGGTCAATGTAACATGGTCTGTCATGAAGTCACACTTGTACCCGACATTCCATACCCATCCCAGGCACCTAGACTCTCTTGAACACTCGGATATACGCATACATTTATTCAAACGTATAATGTAATAATTTTTTTTATTTTTTAACACTCGTCATGTGCTTCTTGGATGTAGCTCCTATTCTTCACATCCACTTCTTAAAATTTGTTGGACATGGTTCCATTTCAGCCAATACCCAACACAAAACTAAGGTTTTAAAGGGCCTTTTCTATACGGTTTAAAAAACAAGTGATTTTCTAACTTATAATATACAGAATAAAATAAACTTTAAAATGTTATAGGCATTTTAATTCTCATAACATCTGAATGAATAAATAATAATTACCTCATGTAAATTATTAATTTGAATATGTATGTTTGCATGCGTACACTTGTGTTTGTTTGTTTGTTTTTATAGTATGTCCCCATACCCTACCTTTTACCAATTTGCCCTGCCCCATACCCATGTTCATGTAACATAGTGCCAGACATATGTTGAATTTGACCTATCCCCCTACATTTCGAGGTTATGTTAAAGTCCTAGCCTTCCCATAGTTTCTGCAACATTGATAGCATATCAGACTGTAGGATTAACTGCTCAGATGAGAATGTAACCTGGTCAAATTTTCCATGTTCCTGCTCTATCTGTACCATCGTTGGCTAATTTTCTTAGTTTAGTTGGATAAATGACGGTGATATTAAAATGATTTCTCATGTCTATATTTGAGACTGGGTGGTGCCATGATGGTGATAGCGAAGACTATTGTGTTGGTGATGGAAGCATACATACATGATATATTTCTTGAGATATCAACTTGTAACGGGATATTACATGAATTTAACTTCACTTTGTTAACCTGAGATGTTTTGATGTTGGATTATTTCATGAATTTTTACAGTGCGGGGATGGAAGCAATTTTTGGACGTTCAGCTGTTCCACAGTCTCGGTCTGAAATGTGTTTAGGAAGATATGAAACTGCTTTATTGTCCTTAGGTACGATGCATTGTCATTTTGGGCATTCAAAGAAAGCTTTGGAGGTAACTGAAACTATCATTTCTTTGGTTATCTCCACTATATATTTTCTGTGACATACATCTAATACGATTTTGGTGTTTACATGTTGCAGGCTTTTACTGAGGCAGTACGGATTTCTCAGCAGGTAATTGTGCGTGCGTGCGTGCGTGCATGTATCTGTATCTTAGACTTGCCCTAATTGCAAAACTTCTCTGCAGAACAACGATGATCCATGTCTTGCTTATACTTTAGCAGCAATCTGCAATCTCTTGTCTGAAATAGGCATTTCAAGCTCAACAGAAATCATTTGGTCTCCGCTAGGGACTAGTACAGGTCTATGTACACCTTTGTCCGCTCAGCAACAACTGTTCCTTCTGTTGAAAAGGTCTTTAAAAAGGGCTGATACTTTGAAGCTGATATGCCTGGTTGCTTTCAATCATCTTGCGTTGGCAAAATTTGGTCTTAAGGTAAGGTAATTATTTGCCCCTTCTAGATTATAGATGTAACTAATATGACATAACTTTATATGTTTGGCATGTGTCGGAGGCTTCCATAAGGTCACCCTTTTACCTTGTTTAACTAGACGTAACTGAAAATCAGATCACTCACTTGAATCAAAATTCTTTCACAACTGTTCTATGAATCCTTTTGAATGGTGCTTTGCAATCACCATCTGCCCTTAATATTTGTGTTTACTTTATATCTTTTCTAATCTTTTGGGTACCAAGTGTCAGCTTTTGTCATATATCCCTTGGCTTCCTGTTGGGAGCATGAGGATATTTTGTAGAGGCATTGATGTCTCAGAAAATTGATTCTCGATATACTATCTGCAGGGAATTTCGGGCTCCCTTTCATGCGGGAAAATTATGGTTGATTGCGAGGGAATCGAGTGTACCAAGGACTCAGTAAAATGATCATGTGATGAGATTTGAAACTAAGTAGGCTTGAGCCCCATGTCCCATTAGTATATTACCATGTCGTGCTTGAGGTCTTCTAATGGACGACAATACCAGTACCTCTATTGGACTAAATGCAGTATGCTCACATATTATCCTTTCAAATATATAGATATCAAAATTTGTTCATAGTAGATTCAATGATAGTTGAGTTCCTTCCAACTTGATAGACACATGGTAACAATCCGTGTTCATATTATGTTTGTAACTTATATAGCACGATCAAATTCAAATTTGCAATAAGTGTAGGAAATATATGACACAACCCACAAACTACACTGTTCAAAATATGACACCAAAAAGCTCATGATAACTCTGCCATTATAAAATAAATCAGACAAGCAAGCAAAACAAAAAAAAACCTTATCGTCATTGTCAAAACTGATATTTTCATTTTATCTTGCATCCTCAAAGCACAAGAGCCCGAAATCCCTAATAAGATCGGTTTTTTGTTTTGTTCTTTTGCTTTTATGTGGACATCTTAAATTTACTGGTCTCTAGAGGTACAAATTACAACCTAAACACAAGTATTTATAATCTATATAATCTACCTTGCATTTATCAGTCCATAGGAGCCACTGTGAGGCAGCTAAAGTTTTTCTTTCTATATCGTAGTTGTATTGAGCCCTTAACTACCATGACCTAAACTACCAAATATACGTGGTGATGTCTATTTTTTTAAACATTGCTTCAGCTATAATATAGCTTAAATTATTTATTCAGTATGAACATATCTTTTCTTCTGTTACCAAGATTCACACCCATGATGAGTTCTATACATAGTGATTAATTCTGTTTATATTACGTTCATATCCTGCATCTTGTCACAAAATGATATAGTTATGCAAAATTTATTTATTGATTTTTAGCAAAAAATCCATCCTTATGAAGGTTTCTAGCAAAATT